GGTGTTGTTAATCAAAATACAACACAATGCACTTCTACACTCTAGAAATTCTAATAATCATTTTCCAAAACAAAGGCCCACCCTACCCTCACGCACAATTAATTTTAAGATAATGCCATGGAATTCATAGCTCAGATAATGACAATATGATGCACAAAGCAATGTGGAAAACATAGAATTTATCCAGCATTCGCCCAATGTTGCGAGAAGCCTCCAAAATTCGAATTTTTGAGTTATTTCGAGTCAGATTGCATCACAAACACTCATTTAAGGGAAAGAAAGAAAGAAAGCGAAGTTGCTTTTTCTTTCTGCGAGCATTGTGAAGAAATCTCAGAATACAAACCGTTATAGAGTGCAGAAAAGTTATATCCACAGCTATCGAGAGGATAGAATAAATTCGGAGAAAAAAGAAAAAATTGCAGCATTTGAACAAAAAGAAAAATTCAAAAACTTGTTTTAGTTACTGATAAGAGGCTCAGCAGCAGACGTGAATTAAGAATCTCTATGTTGACGCTTCGAGTGATTTTCCAAAGTAGCATTGCTATTGTGTTCTACTACAACCTTAGCTGCACTCCTAGCTCATAAAACGAGATATCTAGAATCTTACACATAATAATAATAATATGTGAGCCAGTAAGCAAACTGATATCAACAAAAACTATGTTATTTTTCTATGACTGATAGTCGCCTTAATACGGGGTTTGATGTATTGGAACTCGGAGCGCGAACTGTGCCGTTTCTGAAATGCAAATAGGGAATTATGAACGAACAAAGTAAAAGTTATATTTGCACTCTTATAAAATTTGGTGCTAGGAAAATTTGGTGCCCTATGACCACTACACACAGTCAAACGAAAGGTTGCAATTATTTGATGGCATTGCACAACTCTAACCTTTTACAACCACAGGAAACCCGAGCGACGTTCTTTCTTTTCGCAATCCTCGAAGAATTTCATCGATGATGAGATAATTGAGTTTAATATAATTCTCGACATAACCTTATACTTCTGTCAATTTCAAGATTTCGTTCACAACAGGAAAACTTCTCCATGAATAGGCTTTCCATAGGTATAAGTTGAAAGCTCATCAAACTATATGCTTGCTATTGAGGTCGAATGAGTTCACACATAAACACAGTTTTTTCCTACGCAAGATGTTGAACTCTCCCTAGGTTTGACATCATACTCTTATTCAATTTGTTTGACTCTTACGTATTGCGCGTTTGTCTACCTTATATGATGCAAAACAGTTAGAAATCTGCAAGTACATTCAAGTAGGTTGGCCAACTTACTCAATGAAAAAACCCTCTATTTTGGAGAAACATATAAATAAGTGTCTGTGAGGAGTTGTATGCTGACACGACTTTTACAGCTGTAGAAACAAACGTAGATATTGGAGCGCGGATCAGTTTTGAATCTACAGTACCTATTATAAGTAGTGAAAAAACGACCATGTCACAGAACACTTGCGTCGCAATGACTTTTCCCGTTTTGAAGCGAACCAATTCTAAAGTCCGAGGTTCCGAGGTACCACCCAACTTGTCTCGACGCCGCAAATAGTAGGATTTGTAGCCCTGTTTAGGTACTGTAGGTGGACGGTGAATAGTTTTCAGCAGCTCCCGTGGGTACATTGAGTTACCTACCGTGACCGAAATAAAAAGTTTTATGGAAATTATTGCCAACCGTGAACGCAGTATCCAATGAACTAGAATATCTGAAGTTGAGTGCGTTGCTGAATTAAAGCGCCTCTGGTTTTAGAATTCGCCCACTCCAAAGCGAGATACGGTGATGCGACGAGAAAGCAGCAAACTCCGGTGACACTTGGGTCTTTTACAACAAATAATTGGTGATATGGTTTCTATCTACCAACGTTTCTATCTACGTATCTATCTACCATCTACATGGTCGTTTTTTCTATCTACCTATCTCTTTTTTTTCTTCTCGTCGTTGCGCTCGTTGGTCCAATGTTCCCCTTATATTGTGATAAATCTAAACAGATCGCTCGTCAAAAAGCAATATACGTTTTTCCCGAAACTCTGCTATGTGAATTTCACTTGGGCAAATCTGCAAGTTTTCCACTTGTTTTCTGCCCTCTCGCAAGGGGAGGATACTTGGCCGAAGTAGCGTCTCCAACATGGAGCGCTGTTTTCAAATTTGCTTTCGGTATTTGCAAAGCGTTTTCGAGAGGTGAGTTATGGGAAATCTTCCCACAATTTGAACGCTCCGATACACTAAAATCATCCAGAACTATAGTCAAAGTGCTCAAGTGGAGTCATCATCACTTCCAGAGCGCTTTGTACGTTTATCTATAGTGTTATAAACCCACAGTCACTACATCATTCAAGCTTCGAAGAGACTTCAACACCTGTGTTTACCTTAGCCGAACCCTTTAATTTTTTTTCAAAAATTTCCACTTCCCCTCTCGGAGGCGCTTTGCAGATAACGAAAACAGATTTTCGGTGTTCCATGTATAATAAGACAGTGTACACTTTTCATGGAAACGCTATTTAAGCTAGCGGCTATTTCGACTAAGTATCCCTTTTTTGTCAGATTAAACACGTTCACCGTCCATGAATTCAATTTATTCATTCTGCTGCTGTCAGTTTTTGGCACTACTTACTGTTGGAGTACTTTGAGGACTTTGTCTGAAGTCGTCCTATTTTGCTATCACTCAACCATTGAGGTTCTTCCTATAATGTAATGGACATGAAACCAAACTCATCACACCCCTCCCCCTTTTTTTTTACAAAAAAAAACTCGACCTATTGAGTATGTGAGCTATCAAGTAGTTTTGAGCTTGAAAAAATGTCCCAAATTATCCGAAATTTCGGCACGCGCAAATGACTGTAGATATCGGAAATTTTCGTATGCAATGTGCGCAGATTCAAATTCTCAACCAAATGTACTTTTAGGGAGACTTCCCTTATTAAGGTGTCCCGTTAGTGTACTTATGCATCCTATCTCAGACAAGAACGAAACAAAAATATTCGCGTTGTGCTTGTAGAGTGATTCTACAGGGTGTCCCAAAAATATTCCTACTGTGTGATCTAAAATATTTTTCTTGCACTGAGATCATCCGCCAACACTTGAGTCTGTAAAGCTGGCTTCCACTTTGTAGTATGGAGCGAATCGCGATTCTCCTTTGCTAGGGTAGGATTACGTTAAAAATATCGAAGAAAGTTTTACACCACCAAGTCAAATTCTGTCTCAAATTAGAACAAAACGGGTGCAAATTTCGTCATCAAGTAAGTTAGAAACCGCTCACCTCAAGAATAGCCAGAACGTTAATATGGACAAACTTACGCCAGTACGCGTAAAAATAACATACCAAATAAATTTCTTTGAAAACCTGACTACGCTGTAAAATGCTTCACAAACTATATAATTATTTGCTTGAATTTGCGCACACGAAAACCCCATAAAAAGATTTCAGATGTTTCGAAAATTCTATGAACGCAGCTAAAGTGCAAGAAAGCGTCCTTCTGCAAGTTTTTTACTGTGATCCTACAGCAACAAAGAACGATCTTTTTCAAAGCGTACTGTGAATCTAATAATAACAATAAGTTGATGTAGCTCTACAGAATGACGATCAACGGTTGGTGAAGGACATTATTACACGAGAGAAATTCTAGATCCACCAGTAGGGCCATATCCTTGACACTTTGTATGATCCTCACTCATCACTATTTTCATTAATCAGTGCTATCATGCATGATAAACTGTACCTTCTGATTTTTTCTCCCACATTTTGGATTGGGAGATCTCAGAAGAAATCTTTTTTGGAAACGTTGGATTTCGTCAAATGAATAAAAGCTGTTTCAAAAATGATCTCTGGAGCCATTAGCTACACATTCTGTATGGAGCAAGGGCCGCATGCATCTCGCCGGCTAGAAAATCACAGCGTAAAAGAAAGCTTCGTGCCCTAAAGCTTCAGATATCTGGATTTCACGCTGTCTACCTGTCCGTAAGTATTCCTACTATCCTTCATTGTAAACATGACGAACAGGAGCGAGAAGTTGTACAAACTGCATTTTTCGGCTTTTGTATGATCCCTGGTGATCCCCTGCGCCCGACCGTCTTTTCTTCAAAGTCATTTTTCCTTCCTCCATGTGAACGAAAACATTCCAACTTGTACTGATTATCTCACCGATCAGTGCTAACCATGTTTGTGATAAGAACAAATGAGCTATTGATAGATCGGAATTTCCGATAAACTCCAACTTTCGACTTGTGGTTCACGGCGAATATCATGACTGAGTCAGTACATCACTCTTGTCAAGAACACGCTTAGCACTGATCGGTTAGATAGTTAGTACAACGTTGGCACGTTTCCATTGACTTTGAAGAAAGAAAAATGACTTTGAAGAATTGACGGTGGCCGCCGCGGGATCATCACGGGATTGTACAAAAAGCTGAAAAATGCGACATGTACAACTTATCGCTCCTGTTCATATGTTTATCGTAAAGATAGTAGGAATACTTGCATAGAGATAGACAGCGTGAAATCCGGATATCTGGAGCTTAAAGTATGAAGATTTTTTTGAGCGATCCTTTCGCGGAGGGGATGTTAATGCATGCGGCCCTAAGTCTGCGGATGTATGCCACAAGGAGACACTTGAAACCTTTGTAAATTCTTCTCCATCACTTTGTTATACAATGGTCGCTATGGGGTCGTGCCCAGTCCGACTCGGTTCGGGAAAGATCGATGCGGCGGTTGCCTCGTCTCTGCCGCCCTATGCAATCGATGGGGTCGCGAGGGATCGTGCACTTAGCGTAGGGACGCAGAGATAGAAAACCAGAGCTCGACTACGCCACGTTTGTTCACTTCACCTTGGTCGCAGCATATTTCTAGTCGCAGATAAGATAACATCGATTTTTACAAGGTCTATCATTCCGTCGTGGATCCATTCAAGGCTTTCTTCTTTATTTCTGTCTGAAATTTCTCGTTTCGTTCTCGATTTGAAAGTTTCTTCATGTGATTTCAAGTTTATTCTTCCTCCAGAAGACACTTGACCTCAACGTCACGTTATTTGCCAGGAGCTAAAGCGTTGGAAAAGCAAGAGTGAATAAAACGGTTACGAATAAGAGGGACGATTTCTGCCAGTGTAGGTCCGTTTATCAATTTTTATTTATTTCCAAGTTTTTCAATTCTCATTTACTTTCTTATCATTTTGAGTTATTGTTGTTACGTTGCTGTAACTTATTCTTTGATTTCCCAGAGTATCATAGCTACTGGATTTACGAATCTGTTATCCAATTTGAGAAGAACTATTTTCGATTTTGGTTGCTCTTGGCCAAAGCAAAAAGAACCATCTAACTTTCTGTTGCATTGTCTTGAAAGTTAAACTGAAGCGTAAGCAGCATGTCTTCAATTTTCACTTTTTCCAAAGTATATCCTTCGTAGATCTGTTGTAAGACGATTACGCACTTTTCGAAAGCCGTATAGAAAAGTATAATCATGTCTTACACGGGAGCTATGCTCAATGGATATGCAGATTTAATGGGTGATCTACTTGTGAATGTGATGGACTCGCAGCTGGTGCCAATACTGTTACGAACAATGCTTGCATTTATCCTAAACGTTTTTCCCAAAGATTGAGTAGATTTCAAGTTGCTAGCATGCGATCTTACTGGTTAAATGTGTAACATGCTCCTTTATTCACTGAAAATGCAAGGATCTTTCGTTGTTTGGATATTATTAAAGGCAGCGTCTCGGCAGATTTTGCATTTCCATCTTTTTGCATGTTTTGGGCCTTCTCGACCCGTAGATCCCGAATCTGAGCTTCAAAAGGGGGTGAAAAGGCCTTTTTCGGGGCGTTTTTTTTTCAATTTCCAAAAGGCAGCTCGGACGAGAATTTCAAAGGAAAGGCGGGAGGCCCTGCACGAAGACCCTGCTGCCTGTAATTTTGGCTTTGTATAGCATGCAGAATGCGGAGAAGCGGTTGGGGGGTCCCGCGCCGTCTAGCGGAGAATACTCGTCCGAAGAAGGTGTTAGGGGAGCGAAAGGAGGAAGGGGAGCGGCGCTTGGGCCGCCCCCTGGCTTGCAGAGTTCACATTTTCGGCGCGGAGTTGTTGTTTTGGTTCACTTGGAGGGCCTCCTATCCATCTGTGTCAAAATCTGAGGTAGGTCAATCTGCCGAGCCGCTGCCTTTGAGTTGTGAAATGCTTTTGTGCGCATTTTCGTTGCTTCTTCTCAGTATGCTATATTGTACCTGATGAATTGTATAGATGTTAACAGAAGCTCCCTTTTTGCTCTACCGAATTACTTGCACTATACTTTCAAGTTGGAAGATTTTGAAAGGCGTCTTAGCTTTGAATTAAAGTTTGAAGAGTGAAAATTGCCATCTTTTCTTTATCCAAGCTTCCCCATCTTCAATAGAATTCATCTATTAAACTGGACAGCAAACTACAAAACAGATTATCTAGGTACTGTCATTGACTATGCTTCTTTCTTTTCAACGACTACCAAAGAAAAGCGTCTGTTAAGGAAAATGGCTCTACTTCTGCTATAAAAAGACAAGCTGTTACAGCTTTATGAACAACTGATGTGAGCATGTTGGTGCAGTGGTATGCCAACAATAATAGGCGTGACAATATAAACCAAACATCTGGGCAATAATAATACTTACATTGTAACAGGTCATGCTTACGAAATCTCCTTTGCGCTTATTTGACAAGGTAAGCACAAGGTTATGAGGAAAGTGCCGAGAGCCTCGTTATAAGCGTATCTAAGTTGCCTGTCCACTGAAGCATTAAGTTTCTTGGAAGTAGTCAAAAAATTGAATGCTTTTGTGGCCGCAAATTACCATTTCTGCCATTCCTGAAATGTCCGTCAACCATCTTTTCCTAAATGTGCCTCCAGATGCCCAAGTTAAACTTCAAAGATATTTCGGAAATGGGACCCATCATCAAATTTAAAAAATGATTCCACGGAGTTTTTGAATATAGCAATCTTTGTAACCTACCCCCCCCCCCCCCCACTTCCCCTCATGGTGCAGATTTTTGGAGCTTTTTCCAAAAATTTTGAAATATTCGATACGTGCCGTAACACTTCTCAACTTTAAGGTGAAAAACGTACTTTCTTCTTTGTTAAATGCTAGCAGCTGACCGCGCTGCTGTGCTTCAATGAACTTTTGCTTTCCACGCAACTCTCTTAGGTAAGGCGCAGCACATTGAAGATTCCCTTACGACCTGGCTCGAGCTCTCAGAAAAAATAATACGTTTTGTGCTCGCGAATGGCATTTTTCATTTTTCAGCTTTGGAAGTTTCAATAGTTTCTCAAATCCTCCAATTTGAGAAACGGAAGCAAGGAAATTGATAGAGTGTAACAACACCTTTCAAGCCATGCGCATATCACTAAGCGCTGCAAAACCTCAAGAAAAAGTTGAATTTAAAATGAATCCAGACTAAAAAAAACAATTATGATGTGAATTACAGAAGGCAAATTTACAACAGCATATCAAATGGTGAATAACGTTTTGCAGTTACGCTGACCGCAATATTGCATGGGAAAAATGATTCAGTGAGCATGAACATGCAGTTGAGTGCTATGTAATGGGTCTAGCAGAGGTATAAAATGTCATCACACAAAACCAAAAATACTGGAAAAAGAAAAGTTTCAATTTTCATGCATGATTATATCGAGGTTCTGAGCAAAAGTGAATGTTTACACCTGACTTGAACATATGAGTACGCCCAAATTTTGAGAAGTTGATACGTCCTCCGTATCACTTTGTAAGTTTCATATGGTTTTTTTTTCTTGATAGGCATTATAGACTTTACACTGGATATGTAAGTATATATAGAGAGAAGAGCTAGTTTCTGGCGGAGAATACAGAAGAGGTTCGATTTGATTTTGGAGAAGAATATGTTATTGATGTGCGTCGTATTTGTCCGTACTTTCGAGTCAAAAGTTCGAAATTATTTCAGTCTAAAAAGTGACCTTGTTCCTCTTCCTTCTCCCAAAGCATGTTTCCATTGCAAGCAAAGGCTTTTGTCTTTGCATAGTGTGCATGTTACTGTAAAGTAAATTTTACTAAAAATTTTGAGCCAACGCTCCGCATGCCATGCCACATGTTACCAGCACTAGGCTCACGGTGCTCAAGTACGAACGCTTCGGTACGGTTATCATCGCGCTCACATGAACTAAGATGGTTTCGCTCGTAGAATTGAGACCGCATTTAGACTTTTGCAACATCTTGAATTTGTTTCGCATGGAAACCTGCAAGCCATGATTTAAATCCAAAAAAAATTTAACACATTCACGGCCATGCAAATTTTTAGTTGTCTGCCTTCTGGGACCAAGGCCTTTTACGGACCAGCTCACATTTTTCAACTATAATTATGCATGCTGCCATCTACAGCACACAGTAAATATGAAAGGCTGATAAGAAAGGTAGAGATCATCCTTAGATTCAATGCTATCCCAGGATAGTAGTCATTTTTACAAAATCCAAGCCTTGAAGCACATGGTGTGTCAAGCGGTCGTCAATGTGTTAAAAAGCCACGTTGAGTAAACCATTGATTTCTAGGTTTTGCCTACACTAATAAGAAACAATGCCTAGGTTTATATGCGCGCACTCACCGAGGGAAGAAGAGCTGTAAAGGAACGCTTTATTTTTTGTGCTTCAGGGATCTTCAGGGCCCGTGCATGACCATGCCGCGCGGTGGGGCGGGGGGAGGAGGGGGGGGGGGGGAGTGAAGGAGGGGAGCGCCTTGAAAGGAAAGCTTGATATTTTCAAGTCGTAGCGTTGTGAATTGCGTTTCACCTTGTCTATCCAATCCCAAGTTTTTTAGCCTAGAACATAATGAACAGAAGAGCGTTGAGTCGTGTTTTTCTGCTCGTTATACGGCCTCCGATGATATACCGCGTTTTCAACCGTCTTTTCTTTGTAGTTATCTTTCCTTCTTTAAATCAGTGAAAACATTCCAAAAATGCGCTGATCTAGACAACTCGCAGCTGATATGAACAGATGAGGCACGAAGTAATCAAAACCTCGTTCAAACGCCTCAGTACTCTGAAAACCTATTTGTTTATCAGATGCTTACAAGGGAATGGTCAGGAATCGAAGCCATTCCAGACAAGCTGCGTACCGTTAGATGCAGCATGAAGCGCTGACTCTAAATCTGTCTTCCTTACCTGCTATCGCTTTTCTGGATGAAGCTACAAGCCATTAAAGAACATTATTTTGCTAAGAAATTATGCGTGAAATTGAAAATTTAGCCGTACAGAGCCGCGTTTGCCTCAATGCTGGGCCGAAACATGCAGCTAGCTTACTTCAAATTTTTAAAGCCAGAACCTGAGCTAAAAGTGCAACATTGTGCTCAATTTTGCCGTTTTTATGTATGATTTTTTCACAATAAAATTGCTTGTGGCTTCGTCCACAGAAAAGGGAAGCAGATAAGGAGGACAGATTCGAAGTCAGGGTTTTATACTGCATCGATTGATATACAGCTTGTTTGGTTTGGCCACTTCGACTTCTGACCATTCCCTTGTTAGCAGTGCTGAGTTGGTTAGAGAGTACAGATTTGGGATCGTTTATCACCTTTCGAGAAAAGAATGACTTTGAAGAAAATGTTGTTGGCCGTTGGGAATTATCGGAGGATCGTACTGAAGGCTGGAAAACGCGACTTATGCAATTTATACGCTCTACAACTGATACTTTGGACTTTGTTGTAGTAAATGCAGCAAAATTTTTTGAATAGGACAGACAGCTTGAAATCCAATTAGATCTTTGGGATATAAGCTTTCTTTCACGCTCCCCTCTCCGGCGGGATAACAAGGGAATGGTCAGAACTCGAAGTATCAGTCCAAGCAAGGTACTTACGTACCATTCGATGCAGCATTCAACGCTGTTTTCGAATGTTGTGTATTCCATATGTGCTTAGCGTCTTTGTAAACGAAGTTAGTAGTTTTATTGCGAAGAAATTGTACATAAAGAAAACGAAGAAAACGTACATCAACACATTGCACTTTCATCTTTAGGCTTCAAGAATATAAAGGAACCTAGCTGCATGTTTTAGCCCAGCAAAATTTGCGCTTTGCAGAAACTATAAAGCGCATGAAACGCTGATTCCAAACCTATAATTTCTTGCAGCGGAGCGGCTTT